CATACATATGTTGTACCACATGATTTACTGTACTGTTTGTAATGTTAATATTAATATTTTTATATTTATATTAATAGTATTTAATATTTATAATATTTTGTGATGGTTAATATAAAATAAAAATATTTTATATAAAATATTATACAACAACTTTATTTTTAAGTAACATTTTTATTTAATTTAAATAATAAATACCTTTTATATTTTATTTATATTTCATATAAAATATTTAAACACACTACCTTTCAAATGTTTGGTGTAAGTTAGATTTATTTATTTTTTTTAAGAAATTACTATTTTTTTCTCAGCAAGAATGCAATAAATTGTTCAGAAGTGACGGTAAATAATTTTATAATATTATAAAAGGTTTGTATTTCAAATAAATGCAGACTTGGTGAGCAAAAGAGACTTTCAGAAACATTAAAAAATCTCACTGACCCAAAACCTTTAAATGGTAGTGGTAGTATATATATATATATATAGTTAATTCATTTATTATTTTTATTTAAATATTTTATATTAAATGTGGTTTTTTTTATAATATGCATTTTATAATTAGTTTTTCCTATCTAGTTGCAACCACATCAGAACCAATCTGCAACCATGTGAATTATGACCAAACTACTTACTGTATTTATAATGACGATGAAGAAATGAAGATGTCTTATTGGCTTAAGCAACACAGCAGTGAAATAGCAGCTGACCACAGCAGCAGCACGTCTTGTACTCACTTGGGTCCCGTGACGGTGGGTATGCAGGTGGATCCGTGATGACAGGGATTCTGACCCGGATAACACAGATCCTCCTCGTACTCTTCACACTTCTGGCCTGTCACGCACATCAACAGAAAAAACACCGTAACACTCCACATAAACCAGTCGTCTCTTATGAATCAATGTTAATACTGACCTGAGAAGGGGTGCGGACAGACACAGCTGTAGTTTCCCACTCCATCCACACAGATGGTGCCATTCTCACACTCGTTCTCCACACAATCATCAACATCCACCTCACAGAACTGACCGGCGAAGCCCACAGGACACCAGCAGCTGCAGACAGACCAAGCCAGCTTCATCACATTTATTGCTGCGGTTTCTAGTTTTCAGCTTCAGTAAGGTGTGTGTTCGCACCTGAAGCCTTTTCTAGCCTCGTCGTTGTGACAGGTTCCTCCGTTCACACATGGATTGCCTTCACAAGCGCTGACAGAAACCTCACAGTTCCTCCCCTAGAAATACCAGCAGAGAGGCCTTTAAACGAATGCTCTTCAGAAGCACGTTCAAAAAATCATTCTGAAATGTACTTCGGACGGTTTAAACGGTTCACTGTACAGTCCTACTGTACGCCTACGGAGGGAATGGCTTCATGTGGGGCAGGGTGTGGTTTTAGTGCTTATGTTCTACAAAAAGTGTCTTATTCGAGATGTTTAATAGATTTGAGAAGTCTTCTGGATGTGAGTTTCTGATTTTCCTGAGGGTCGGGTTTACCGGCTGTATGTGGTCAAAATGAAAATAAATAATAAATGACATAAAACTAAATAAAATAAAATAAAAAAATAAATAATTGATGGCAAACTAAAAACTTTTAAACGTACAATTTTGAAATGTTGTCTTTTTCTAACCCAAGTTGAAGTACTAAAATGACTAAAAATGAAATAAAAGTAAATTGAAAAGAAACAAAAAATTAAAAAACGAATAAAAATGACAAAAGCACTAAAACGTGAGCTAGAATAAAATGAAAACAAAAAATATGAATATGCATAAATACCACAAAAGTAAACAAATAATAGTTAGTTAACTCTTAATTGGACTTTCTTTTTTTAATATTTACTGTGTGTATTTTTTATTTGTATAATTTTTTTTCAAGCAGCTTTATTTTGTATCAACATGAAATGCAGTTCATATATGAATATATTTTCACATACTAAAATTACCAAAACAAACTGAAAATACAAACTACATAAACATTTTTATAAATACTAAAAAAGTATATTATTCATACTTAAATAATACTAACAAAGAATGCAAATGTGTTAATAGAACTAATTTAGAGTTTTAACATTTTTATCTTCATTCCGCTGAAATGGCTTGTCACGTAAACTTACACTTAAAGAAGCAGTTCACCCCAAAATTTGCTGATGGTTCACTCTCAGGCCATCCGGGATGTAGATGAGCTTGTTTCTTCACTGGCACCCATTCACTCATTCATGAGTCCAAACAGCTGCTAAAAACATCACAATATCTGTTCAGAACCGTTTTGGCTCGTAAACGGTGCTTGATCTGTGCAGATTTCTCTCCTGATTCAGACCAGACCACTTTTTCACTGGATTAAGCATTATTATGAATAGAGGACTTATATTTTAGCCGGAAGCGACGGTTTAAAGTGTCTTGATGGATTTGTTTCTTACAAACACGCAGCTACTCTTAATTGGACTTTCTTTTTTTAATATTTACTGTGTGTATTTTTTATTTGTATAATTTTTTTTCAAGCAGCTTTATTTTGTATCAACATGAAATGCAGTTCATAATTTATTTTACTTCTAGAATGTGATGTGCTACTCTGGCAAAAGCCCAAAAACACATGGTATTACCATAGTACTATGTCCAAAAAAACAAAAATTAGAACTATTAAAAACATTTTTGTTATTTGAAATAAAAAATAAAAATTTTGTATTAAGAAAGCCTTTTATGACTTTGTCAAGTGCAGATTTCTCTCCTGATTCAGACCAGACCACTTTTTCACTGGATTAAGCATTATTATGAATAGAGGACTTATATTTTAGCCGGAAGCGACGGTTTAAAGTGTCTTGATGGATTTGTTTCTTACAAACACGCAGCTTTTCGCTTCTCAGGATGTTAACTGATGGACTGGAGTGGTGTGGATTACTTGTGGATTATTGTGATTTTTTTATCAGCTGTTTGGACTCTCATTCTGACGGCACCCATCCACATCCATTGGTGAGCAAGTGATGCAATGCTACATTTCTCCAAATCTGGTGAAGAAACAAACTCATCTACATCTTGGATGGCCTGAGGGTGAGCACATTTTCAGCATATTTTCATTTTTAGTGTGAACTATTATTGCTATAATTATGTCACATAAACAGTTGTGTCCGTGTATTGAACCTGTAATGTTTGTAGCGGTATGCTCAGTAAAGGATGTTCAGGACCTTGTGACCCTGCGGACAGCTGCACTTGTACTGGTGTACTGGGTCGCTGTGGCACAGGCCTTGATTCTGGCAGGGGTTCGACGAACACGGGCTGCATTTCTCAGACACGGACGGATCCACAGGACCTGAGGGAGAGCAGACTCTCAAGCTGAATCCTCAAAGGAAACGGCCTTTTTTTCTGAGCTGGTGATCTCTGTCACGCACCTGTGCACTGGAAGGTATTGCCTGGCGTTGTGAGCAGCAGTTTTCCCTCCACACCCTGCGGCCCGGCGCAGCGGGCGATACCGGGCTCCTTGTAGCCGCTTTTCACCCAGTCACAGAGCCAGCGCAGGCGACAGTCACAGTACAGCGGGTTTGCGCCGATCGCCCTTGATGAAGGCAGAAAACCCATACGGATGATCATATGAGACGCAAATGAGGTAACCGACATGACGAGTATTTGTTTGACAGTACATTCCTGCATTCACATCCCATCCAAAATGACAATTTTGACATATTGACACAGTTTTAAAGGTGCAGTACATCTACTGTAGAAGCACTCCACTCTCATTACATTTGTGAATTCAACAATTTCTCTTACATGATTGCAATCAATTTATGTCCATTTATTTACACCTTTCTATTCTTTATCATTTATTTTAATACATTTTAAAATTAATTTTATTTTTCATTTATCATTAATTTCTTAACATTTATCTCCATTTTTGTCCATTTTAAATTTGATTAAGATTAGAGAGAGAGAGAGATTTTGGCTTATTTTCAATGATAATAATAATAATACGAAGAACAATATACAACCTACAGTACTTCTATTTTTCAAAAGTGCTATCACAATATTCTATTATTACAAATAACGACAACAACAAAAATGATTATAATATATAGTAGTTTTTTTATTCATATTATTAATATGATCATAATAGAATTATTTTCATGATACTGTCGTCACAATTACGTTTTCTCATTACTGTAATCCATCCGTATGTTTTACTTTTAAGTTTTTTAATGTCATTTTCATTATTCTCAATCAGCGTTGTTATCGTCAACTAAAACTAAAACTATTACAATTGTTTTTGGAATTGATAAACAGCTAAATGTAAATATAACTATTAGATGAAAAATAAGATTTACAACAACACATATCAAAATTGCTAAAACTTTAATATAAATTTAAAACGATAACTTAAAATATATAAAGAAAAGCTAATTCAAAATATTAATAAATACTATAATAGTGCATGATACCAAAATAACACTGCTCTCAATGGCGATTTTCATTCGATTCATTGCTGCAATACAGTAATTATAAGTAGAATAATATACAGTACAACACATACTACCATGACGAGAAAATACGTTTAATTATATATATATATATATTAGGGCTGCACAATTAATCTAATTTCTAATCGCGATTACAATTACGGTTGCCACAATTACGTAATTGTTCAAAGCAGCAATTAATCATTATGTTAGTGCGTGTGTTTTTTTTTCTTTCTACAGATTATCTTAGTTTTTCCATTATTTTAATTGTAGTTTTAGTATAACGTTATAATTCCATGCATATTTTTTGTATTATTTAAAGGAGAAACCAATCAAATGTATAGTTGACATTTGAGGCTTAATTTCAAAAAATTTTATAGAAAAGCACTAAAAGTTTTTCAGTTTGAGTGTTTTCCGCTCGTTTATTTTCATCTAAAATTATGGCATGAAGTTTCTTCAAACAATGGTATAAACATCATTCAATGTAAACTGTGATAATGGTAATTAATAATCACAATTACAATTTCAAGGGAATAATCAACAATTATGATTGTTGTCATAATCATGCAGCCCTAATATATATATATACTTTTCACCAGAGGAGGAATACAGCGCAGCGCATTATAACTTAAGATACTGTAAAACACCACAACACACGACAGACGATTATAAACACATTCAGAGTTAGCAGCAGTTAATGGAAGTGTGTGTGTGTGTGTGTGTGTGTGTGTGTGTGTGTGTGTGTGTGGACTTGTTTTGAGTATACATGTTTTGGAACAAATACCCTCACTTGTATTGTGAAATACTTTGTCAACCCTCTAGTGAGACATTTGACTGCTCCTCTAGTTACAAGGCTTATAAATGAAATTCAAGTGTATTTGTATAGCGCTTTTTACGATACAAATCGTTGCAAAGCAACTTTGAGTTGACTCATGTTGGCAAAAGATGAGTTGGACAAGAAACTGATTTTATTGTTGCTCAAGTCACTGAAATAAAGCACAAAAAAGTACTTTCATTTTATAATAATAATAATGATTTTTTTTATTTACTGTATATGTCATATAATATATCAAAATCTTTTAGTTATACATATTATAACAACAACAACAGAACAATTATGATAATAATATGTAATATTAATAATATTGTTATTCTTTATACATTTATATGTATTATATTTTTCTATTATTAATTTTGTTATAAATTAATTGTAATTATTAAATATAATAATAATAATACATTATTATCATAATAATAATTATTATTATTACTATGATTATCTTTTATTTTTATGATATTAATAACATTATTACTGTTGTTATTATTATATAATTTATTATGTCATTTTTTGTACTCCACCAAGTGAAACATTATACAATAATAATAACAGATTATTATTAATAAAATATACTATAGAATATTGCAACATTATATTATTAATTATGTATAACAACAACAGCAACAATAATAATCATTAGCAATAAAATATTATTATTATTATTTTTAATGTATACAATATTATATAGAATAATATTTTAATAATTATTTTTTTCTATTAATAACTATATGTAACAACAATAATTATAATAATAGATTTTATTATTATCATTAATGTATATTATATAATATAGTAATATTATAATATTATTTGGCAATAATTATTACAACAATTGTATTACATACAGAAAATTTGTTCTTAGTAATTATTGTTAGTATTAGTATTCATTTTTATAATTTAGCATTTTTGTACTATTATCAAGTGAAACATTATACGACAATAATAACAGATTACTATTAGTATTATTATTGATGTTGTTGTTGTTAACCAATATAATATATGTTGCATACAATTTTTATTATCATTATTATTGATGTTGTTGTTGTTAACCAATATAATATATGTTGCATACAATTATTATTATTATTATTGTTGTTGTTGTTGTTAACCAATATAATAAATGTTGCATACAATCTATTATTATTATTATTATTTATTATTATTATTATTATTATATGTTATTTCCTAAAATACAACTATTTATATTCATTTGCTGGTCTGGTATATATATATTAAAGCAATGAAAGTGAATGTAACTGAATATGAATCTAACACACAGACGGCAGATCTGACACTCACACCAGCTGCAGCTGTTTGAATGCTGAGAGCTCTTTAGGCACCGCAACAAACAGATTCCCATCCAGGTATCTATGGAGACAGACAGAGAGAGAGTTCATCAGACACTCAAATACAGGCAGACAGGAATCCCGCAGCATTAGCATAAGCGCGTGTGACTCACAGTTCAGTGACATTGTGTGGGACGCCGCGGGGTAAAGCCAACAGGTGCTTGTTGCTGCAGCGCACCACGGTATCCAGACACGTGCACTGCTCAGGACACGCCGGCTTAGGGACACAACTCACGTCGTCTTCAATCAGAGCTGAACGTGTGTGGAGGAGATATGTTCAGAAACACAGTCACAGAAAGCATGACATTTGAGGACTTTGATGAATAATTAGCCAATATAAAATTCAATAACAAATTATAGATAGCAGATGAGTTTGGAAGCCTGTCTATGCCAAGGAATAAAACAAAAAGCCATTGTGATTTTCACAATTCACAGTAATTGCGTTATTTTCTTAGAATAAATTGCGAGATATTATCGAACAATTCTGAGAAGCAAAGTCAGATTTGTTAGATCAAAAGTTGCAATTACCTCTTTTATTTTTATTCTGTTGCGGGGAAAAAAAAACTTTATATCTTACAATTCTGACTTTTTTCTCAGAACTGCGAGATTGTGAACTCAGATTTGCCAGAAAAAGTGTGAATTGCAAGAAAACTCAAAATTGAGAGCTATAAACTCACAACTGTGAAAAAGTCAGAACTGTGAGATATAAACTTAGAATTGCAAGAAAATGTGGAATTGTGAGAAAATAAAATCTAAATTCTGCATTCATATCTTGCAATTCATTCATGACTTTTTTTCTCAGAACTGCGAGATGTAAACTCAGATTTGCAAGAAAAGAAGTCTGAATTGTGAGAAAAAAACGTTTTTTAAAAAAGTTACCTTTTTAATTTTTTTTTCTGTGGCGGAAACGAAAAACCGAATTGCGAGAAACAAACTAAGAATTGCAAAAAAATAAAAAATTCCAAATAGCAAGTTATGAACTTCAGAATTGCGAAAAAGTCCGAAATGTGAGATAAAAAGTCGCAATTACATTATTTTATATCCATTGGCGAAAACATACTTTCATAGATGAGATTATTTATATACATATATAAATTATTTAATATAAGTTTAATAACATTATTTAATATAAGTCTTGTGATAGTATCAGTAAAAATGTGTTGAAAACTACAGTACAAATTAATCAGTAATGTTCTGGATCATAGAGGCTACCATTGTTTTCCAGTAAAAGTGTTTTATTTACACAGTTCCGTTTTACAGTAGCTGTAAAAATATTAAAAACTTAATATTTGATTAAAAAAATTTGAATATTACTTGTAAATATATTAAAATATAACAATATATTATTAGTAGTAAATATATAAATAAAATTAGATCATTTTTTGTTCTAGATCCAGAGAAAATGTTGGAAATAAGAAAATCCTTACTGTTGTGCCCTGAATACATAAATTACTTCAGCAAATTCAGAGAGAAATTAAGGTACCATTTATTAATTTATTTGTAATAATCTGCACCTAGACAGATTTCTTCTTTAATTTTCTTAAGTTCATTATTAGTAGTATTATTTGAAACTTGAAATAGTCGCTGATCACATGCCTTTTGCAGCTCAGGCGATAAAGTTGAAGACTAAATCAGTGCTGTGTTTTATTGTAAATTGAGTTCTGGAAAACACATTTAATCAAACTTGCGTAGCTAGAAGCATCTGCCTTCACATATTTGAGTAGAGTATGTTTCGGCCTTCCAAATGATGAAGATGTAGGACAGTGAAAAACCTGAAAGCCTCATTTACCCTTGTCACAGAGGAAGTCCGGCTTTGCCACGTCCTGCAGTGGGATCTCTCTGAGGAAGGCTGGGTTCTGACAGCGAGGGTTTCCCGTCACGATCTGCCGAGATCGCAGCCACTCGCCCAACCAGGACAGACGACAATCGCAGTTAAAAGGGTTTGCCAGAAGGTTTCTGAAAAAGACCATTAAGATTAAACAGAGTTAACACATTCAGATCAGACACATTAATAATAGGAAGCGAGAACTAAAGGCGTTTACAGGGTGGAGAGGTTTGGCAGCGTGTAGAAGGCTCCAGGCATGATGGTGGTAAGCTGGTTGTCATAGAGCGAGAGCAGACGTACGTTCTGCAGGCCTGCGAAGCTGCTGTTGTGGATGCAACGGACGCGATTATTCCTCAGCATCCTAACAAAGACAGAACAAAGGTTTCAGGGCTTCAGGGTGACTGTGTGGAACTATGAAAATGGCTGAGCTTGCTTTGACTGTTCTTGAGTAATGATGCATTTGCACAATCCTGCAGTGATACATTTAAAGATAATGATACATTTAAATAAATGAACAGCTTCACCACAATATATATGAACATCATGGACTGTTGTGAGAATTCATTCAGTACCAGCGTGGAACAAAAAGAAGGATCATTCTTTTAAACTTGAGTTTTCTGATATATTGTACCATTGTTGTATACCATTGTTTGTTTGTTAGTTTTTTTAACAGCTGTAAATTTACACATCTTTAACACAAAACATAAACTAATATTTAATTTAAAATATAAGAAATATTTTTATCAGTGAATATATAAATGAAAATGTCTATATTTGAAAAATGAAAATTCAGAAAATCCTTCCTGTTGAGCCCTGAATGCATTAATTAGTCCAGTATAAATTGGGACAAAAATGTATTTATTAACAGACCAGTCATCCAACCAACCAATCAATCAGTCGGTCAGTCAACCAACCAATCTGTTAATCAACCAACCAATCAATCAATCAGTCGGTCAGTCAACCAACCAATCTGTTAATCAACCAACCAATCAATCAATCAATCAGTCAGTCATCCTATCAATCACTAATACTACCAATCAACCTGTTAAACAACTAATCAATCAGTCAACCTACCAATCTGTTATTCAACCAACCAACCAATCAACCACCAGTCATGTCAGTCATTCACTCATACTACAAGTCAATCAGTTAACCGACTAATCAAACAATCTATTAACCAACCAATCAGTCATTCAACCAACTAATCTGTTAATCAACCAACCAATCAATCAGTCACCCTACCAATCACTCATACTACCAATCAATCAGTCATCCATCCAACCAACTAATCAGTCAAACAACCAACCAATCTATTAACCATTAGTCAGTCATCCATCCATCCAATCAATCAATCAATCAATCAATCAATCAATCAATCAATCAATCAATCAATCAATCAATCAATCAATCAATCAATCAATCAACCAATCTGTTAATCAAACAACCAGCCAATCAGAAATCCTACCAGTCAATCACTCGTACTACACATCACATTACCAAATAATCAATCAGTCAACCAGCCAATCTCTTAAACAACCAATCAGACAGTCATTCAACCAGCCAATCAATCAGTCATCCTATCAATCACTCATACTACCAATCAATCAGTTAGCCAACCAACCAATCAATCGATCATACTAACAATCAATCAGTCAATCAACCAATCTATTAATCAACCAATAAACCAACAAATCAGTAATCCTATCAGTCAATTAGGCATACTACCATTACACTACCATTCCATCAGTTAACCAACTAATCAATCAATCAACCAACCAACAACCAACCAGTCATTGTCACACTACCAATCATTTGGCCAATTAACCAATCCAATAATCAATCAACCAATAACTCAGTCATCCTATGTCAATCAGTCAACCAACCCAACCAACTGAATAGTAGAACAACTAAAGACTTACAAATTACTTGAAACGGTTTTAATTATGTAAAACCACAACTAGTTATACAACAAGCATGCTTCTCAGAGTACTAGAAATGCTGTGGCAGAAATGATGGTGAAAAGGACACTTGCAGCATGCGTAATCTGTCCATTCCCCGGAACATTCCTCCACGTATGGACACCAGGTGGTTGGCTGTCACGTGAAGTTCAACCACAGATGACGCACCGTCAAAAGCTCCATCCTCAATCTCAGTGATTTTATTGTTGCTAAGGTTTCTGTGAGAGAAATGCACCATAAACTGGTTTATTGACCACTTCAGCTCAACGTTAAGTAATACAGTGTATTTTGACACTGTTTCATCATAATATGTAAAGCATAAATGTCAGTCTCACATTTTCTTGAGATGTGTGAGGGACCGAAAGAGTCCTGTTGCCTCCAGGATGGACAAGTCATTGTTATTGAGACGTCTGAAAGAATGCAATAAAGACAATGAAATAAACAATGCTAGCATGTTGCTAAGCTAACGATGTTCTACTATAATACTATAAGCAGCACAAAACTATTTTTATCAAACTGTTACTAAAAAAGAATAGATTAACATCAACTTTTCTGTTGCTTCATCCGCCATCTTGGATGGATTTTTTCACTGAGCTTGTCGCAATGCATTCTGGTATTGACATTTCACACAGGAGAAATGGCCAAAAGAAGGTATCGCAATTATGCAGTCTGCTTTAAGAAACAGTCTTCTTATTGAGAGCACACACACTTGATGCCTTAAAATACTCCCTACAAAGGCAGCTCACTAAATTTTGGATAAGAGCCATATTGTAATTGTTGTATGTGTATATCATCTTACAGTTCAGTTGTAGAAAGCGGAAGGTGCTCTGGGAACTTGGTTAGGCGTAAATTTGAGCAGTCCACCACAGTAGCTTCACAGCGGCATTTGGGTGGACAAACAGGCTTGCTGTTACAGTCCTTATTCAAACGCGTGTCTTCTGTGCCTGAGACAAATATAAAGATGCTTTCAGAGAATCACCATTAATCAAAGGAGAGTATAAATGGGCCATTATTCAGTTTGCATCACATACTATTTCAAGTCATATAAAAAACAGGTTCAATGAGATACTTAAAAGATATAAACAACTTACCTGGAATGTGGTACTGTTCCTTGGCTGCTATGGCAACACATGCAAGTAAACAGAAAATACAGCTTCTATGAAAGTGTAGATATACATGGAGCCAGCAAAGATCTAAATTTGAGACCTAAAACTAGAACCAAAGATTTTCTCGAATATACTGGTATTAACTCAACTCACATCACTCACCGATTGGTTTAATAATACTGATTAATACAAAGATTTGTTCAATAATACTGATTAATTTATGAACTAAACAAGTGACTGTCTATATGAGTGAGTCACTGAAGCATTCTTTCAACTGATTTGTTCATAAACACTGATTCATTAAGGAACGAAAATGTCATTAAATCATTCACTTAACCAATTTGTTCAACGTGCTGTTTTATTCAGAAACTACACAATTGACTGTTTATTAACAAATCGTTGAGTTATTCACTCGATTCAAATGATTCGTTAAAAAAAACTGAATGAAACCAGTGACTGCTTTTATGAGTGAATCATTAAATCATTCAATTTGTTCAATAACACTGATTCATTCAGGAATTAAACAAATGACTGTCTATATGACTGAGTCACTGAATCATTCATTCAGCTTTTTTGTACAAAAACACAGATTCATTCAGCAACTAAACAATTAGCTGTCTTGAGGAGCGAATCAGTAAATAATTCATTCAAAGGATTTATTCAACAACACTGATTCATTCTGGAATGAAGCCATGACTGTCTTTATGAATGAATCATTAAATCATTCACTCACCTGATTTATTTGAAAACACTGATTCATTCAGAACTGAAACAACTGACTGTCTATATGAGTGAGTCATTGAATCATTCATTTAACTGACTTGTTGAAAAACATTGATTTATTCAGGGACAAAACAAATAACTTTCTCTTATGAGTGAATCACTAAATCATTCAGTCAACTGATTTATTCGAAAACACTGATTCATTCAGAAATGAAACAACTGACTGTCTATATGAGTGAGTCATTGAATCATTAATTTAACTGACTTGTTGAAAAACATTGATTTATTCAGGGACAAAACAAATAACTTTCTCTTATGAGTGAATCACTAAATCATTCACTCAACTGATTTGATTCATTCAGGAAACCTACTAGTGTGTTTCTCGAAAAAACAATTACGACACAATTACCTGAAATTGTGCACAAAAGTCCCAATTAAAGCTTATGTGCATACTTTTTAATAAATAAATGTATGCCAATAATTGCACAGTGCGTTTGTGTATTCTACCCGAACAGCGGAACTTCTTGCTCTTGATCTGACTGATGCGTTTGTTGGCGAGCCGTCGAGGACTGGAGCATCGTGCGCCGCTGGTCTCAATCGGGTTGGAGCGCAAAAAGTCCGCCAGCCACTTCAAACCACAATCACAGACGAACGGGTTCTGAGCTAAGTGACTGGAAGAAAGCCAACAATAAAACGTCTTGATTACAGTAAATGCCCATATCAATTGTTTATTATATAACGTCTCTTACAGAGTCTGGATGGATTTCAGTGGAGTAAATGTGCCTTTGGCTAGAGTCTGGATCTTATTGTCGTACAGAGACAATAGAGACAGGTTCTCAAGGTCCTGGAAGACGTTGACGCGAACACAGTGGATTTTATTGGCATTTAATAGTCTGAAAGAGAGAAAGACAGACATCTCAGACATTACAAAGACTGTCTGGATGTTGCTATTTCAGTGCTATTTTATTCACGGACCATTAAGCACTGTGACACTGTGACATTTTTCATATGTGGGTGGTAATTTTGCAGTGACATAAGCTTTTCTGTACTTACAGTAACTCTAATGCAATCAATCCATCAAAAACACCTCGAGGCAGATCTGTAATCTTATTTCCATAAAGAACCCTGGAAAACAAAACACAGTCATGAGATACAATGGTGCTGATAAACAGTTTCATTTGAACCAAGTCTGCAGGGCTTGGAAACATGCAGATTTCATAAAAACTGACCATTCAGACACAAGGTTACACATACATTTAAATACAAATGTCACAAACACAGAGTCTGCTTAAAGTCCTATCAGGTTTAACAAGATTTTATTTTATTTTACACATTCTATTCTATTCACATTTTATGAATCTTTATGAATTTATGATTTTACATTTTACTGGACAAATCACAAGAGCCCATCCCCAAGTCTCTATGATATTTTTGTCTCTAGATATAGCTTTTTTCTTCAGTATAAGCAATGCTTTCTAATGAATCAGTTGAACCGGTTCACAAAATCAAAATGATTCAAGCATTTCACAAATCGGCAACTCATGGAACCAAAACATTTGGACATCTCCGACTTGTCGTGAGTCGGTTTAACAACTCACAGATTCCTTGAACCAAAAACCGATTTAGGGATGAATCGTTCAGACCGAGTTTGTGAACAGGTTCAACTGATTAACTGAAAAGATATGACTCAAATAGAACAATTCTGACTGAACTGCTGAATCATTTATTGAACTGGTCATTGAAGTTAACTGTTTGAAAGAAAAATAATCAGACTAATCAGATCTAAATGACTAAATGTAAGTCTATGAATCATGAATCATTCTAACTTATTTAATCTTTTACATTAATCAGTTGAACCAGTCCACAAAATCAATATGAGCGATTTAAACATTTGGTTCAAGCATTTCACAAGTCAACAAATCAACAAGTCAAAGAATCAAATCGTTTGGACATGTCTGACTCGTAATGAGTCGGTTTTACAGCTCACCGAGTCCTTGAACCAAAAACCGATTTGGGAATGAATCGTTCAGACTGAGTTTGTGAACTGGTTCAACTGATTGACTGAAAATACATGACTCAATAGAACAATTAATTCATGAATCAGTCTATACGGGATGCATGGATTGATTTTTGGACATGCTCACTGATTCCTTGAAACAAAAACCGATTTGGGGATGAATCATTTAGTCTGAGTTTGTGAACCGGTTCAGCTGATTGAATGACTGTATGACTCAACAGAATCATTAATTCACGAATGAATAAAAAAATAAAGAAAAAAATAAAAATGTTAATTACCTGCTGTCGAATTCTTGATATGACTTCCTCTATCAATATAGGTAATGTGCGATTCATGAATGAAACATCCTAATGAATCAGATCTTTTTATGAATCAGCTGAGGAATTAATTCACAAACTAGACTCAACTGGACCAAGTGGCTCTCAAGTCAACTAAACAATTACTCACAGAACCTAATCTTTTGGAAATGTCAGATTAATAACTCAATCATTTGTTAAACCAATGAATTAAACATTCAGGCAGAGTCAGGCACTGATTCATTCAAAAGATTTGACTCAGAAGATTCATTCATGAATCAGATATTTATGCTTTCTGAAATAAATAAACAAACAAATAAGTAAATTAATTAATTAATTAAAGTCTCTATCTACTCTATCGAATCTTTTTAGTGACTGAATTGCTGAATCATTTAACTGTTCGAAAGAGCCGATTAGCAGTAACGAATCAGACCAAACTGGATCTAAGCGACTAAATGTAAGTCTATGAGATTTTATCACCCGTTTTATCAGCATTTTTAAGTTGATTACTTAAAGTCACACAGAGCATGGCAGACAATCTGGCATGAAGCATTGTTCCCGCTGAGCTGAATCGCACGCATCCTCACGCAATCAAATCACATAAGACATGTATGCTAGAGACGACTAGCGCTGGAGGCCAGACACACACTCATATATTTACACAAACCGCACACGTTCACATCAGAGCCCTGCTGAGATTGTCCCAGAACAGATGTCTACAAAGAGCTCTTCATGCTACATGATGCAGAATTCAACACAGATAATAAGCGCGCCTGTATGAACATGACTATATACATAAGTGCTGTGAAAATGTCCAGCGCATGAAGGTGTCTTGTTTACAGATTTGAATAAATGGAAAGGTAATTCTCAAAACAATATTTGTGATTAAACATTTAATTTTTTCTTCATGTGCAAAATAAATATTTATTGTGATTTTTATTATTAATAAATGTAATTATTTATTCATATCACTGTTGCTGGGAATTTATTAAAGGCTCTACACTCCTGAAAATATATAAATAGTACAAAATATAATTTCCTGCTGTGGAAAAAGAAGTATTTGCTCCAAACGCTGTTGGAAATCATTTCTTGTAGGTCGGGGTTGTGTAAAGGAACATTAGCAGTAACGTCTACATCAACATTTCTGTTGCAGAACGATTTTATCGTATGATGTCTGAGGGCTTTATGAGACCCTCTGCAGCATTTTTATGAGTTTATGACTTGGTCATTTCATATACCTCCATTTTCTGATTGGTTCTATCAGCGACACACAGAATGGCTGGAGTTTTTCGGGTCATTTTCTGGTAAGGTCCATTTCTAGCACCGCTTCAGCTTTCTGACACACAGCCTGTTTGAAACTGTGGCTCTACAGGGTTTAAAATCCTTTGAAGGATTGAGAGCGTTTCGTTTGTTTGTTTTGTTTTGTTTTTTTCAGCATGCTATAATGAAACACCTGAATTGCTAAATCTATTCAGTATATTATATTGTTTTTTTTTTGTGCTTTTTTTTAGAAAGAAGTCTCTTCTGCTCACCGAGGCTCCATTTGTTTGATTAAAAATACAGTAAAAACGGTAATATTTTGAAATATTATTACAATTTAAAATAACTATTTTCTATTTGAACATATTGTCAAATATAATTTATTTCTGTGATCAAAGCCGAATTTTCAGCATCATTACTCAGAAACTTCTAATATGCTGATTTGCTGCTCAAGCAAGATTTTCTATTATTATCAATATATTTGTGTTGCTTCATATTTTTGAAGAAATCATCGTACATTTTTGTACGATGAATAAAAAGTTATTTGAATAAAGGTTATTGACATCAAAAATGTATTTACTGTTACTTTTAATCAATTTAATGCATTCATGCTCAATTAAGTTATTAATTTCTTTAAAAATAAAATATATTATGTTATATAATATAATATAATATAATATAATCACTTGATTATTTGGAAATATGTTTGTTTGTTTGTACATTCAAAATCATACAAGTTTAAATAAATGGATATCAAATTACAAAAATATATATTAAGAAATGCATCTTTTTATTTCATAAAATATTTGTTTTTATAGATTTGTATAAATATAACATATAACATAATCATTTGATTATTTGGAAATATGTATATGCTGTGAATCCCTTTATTTTCTGGCATGTAAATCTGTTAAACACAATAAGAGTGAATGAATAAATGCACACTTACAGTGAGTTGAGTGAGCGCAGGCCTTGAAACGCATCGGGGGCAATTTCAGATATTTGGTTATTACTCAAATCACTGCAGGGCAAAAGACAGAATGATGAAATACATGAAATGTAATGGCCATAAATATAAGGAAAAACATCTGTTTCTTAACAAATGCAACAGATCCTAAAGCAATTTCTTCCTTATTTGGAATAAATTCTATGACAATTACATGTGCAAAAACTGCATGTATAGTGATTAAATAAATAAATGTATGTGAACTAATGAAGCTTATTTGTGTCATAGTTCATACTGTAGATTATATAAATGTAATGACTCACATTCTGCGCAGTCTCTTGTAGGAGGCGAACGCTCCCGGAGGAACAGACTTTATACCGTTCTGCTCCAATCGTCTGAAAGACAGAAAAGCAGAGAACTGGTCAACTAATGTCGAGGGTGGATGGTTAGCTTTGCAGTTCAGCACTGTTACTACTAGCGTCTCCTTGGTTCCCTTATTATCATGGATACTACCTTTAGCCCTAGTCAAACGGTCAATCTCACCGATGCGAGTCCAGAAAGGGTAAAACCCACCAGATGTGAAGGTTAAGAGGGTAAATGTCATTTAAGTGTCTGAAAATATTATATTCAGTTCATACTCGTGTGCTCTTTTTAAAAATGCTAAAGTGAACTTATTTTTCACAAGGGGTTAAAAACAGTCAATCTTAAATATTCGTAGTAAAAGACACACTCACATCTCAGTCATGCCTTCAGGCATGTTGGCTGGAATCGCCGTCAGACCTTTTCCTCTGCAGTCCACGATATTGTTGGTGCAGGAGCACATCGGCGGACAGGAACCAGACGCAAGACCACAGGGCTGAGGACCGGAATCAAAAACACCTCAGGAAAAGAAGGAAGCATTATAGATATTAGTATTAAGCATGCAGTGGATTGGTTTAATGTTTGCTTTTCTTCCTTTTCGTTTGTTTCTTCAATTTTGGGGACTTTTGGGACAGTGTTTTTATAATGCTTCTAAATGAAAAATAAAAATAAAAATTCCATCACATTTTTCAAATCATCATTTAATCTGTTGAGGAAATTACATTTTTGTCATTAAATAAAATGGCCGAATTTTTTTGTCTTGCTCGGACTAATTTCACAGCGAGCATTTTATTTAACCAAAATGCCCAAATTACACAACAACTTTGGTGATTTTTTATATAAAATTACAGCTTATTTAGAAATAATACACAATAATAATAACATTCTCTAGCCTCCATGGTAAACAAGTACACTGACATTTGAAAATACATATTTTACAAACAGTAAAATTGATAGAAAAATGATATGCATCTTTCACACAATTAATGTTGAAATGGTTTATGGTTGTTTTACATTGTGTTGAGATTATAATAATAAAAATAGAGTAATATTTTTTTCATGTATTTTCATAAATAAAAAATCATTTCCTAAAAGTTATTCAGAAAATAGCAAAAAAAATTAATGATAAATTCCAGTTATGATAAAAAGTTTCAAGGCACTGTTAATGTGAACTTTATAGCATATATAAAAAAGCACAAAGTCGAAATCTCATAATACATTTGTACATTTTAATTTTAACTTACGAAACATTTAAAAAATGTTGTTAGATAAAAATTAACCCCTGGAACATAAAAGTTGAAGAAACAGACCATCATGTGACCATCATACTAAATAAGTAAAAAGTCGAAAATCTCTTTACAATTATTTCCAATTATTTCAATATTAATTTAATTCAAGTTTTTAAAATGTTTTTAGTTTTAAAAAAGGTTTTAATCAAAAATTAACCCCTGAAACATAAAAGTTGAAGAAACATGTGACCTTCATACTTCATACTATATTTATAAAGAGTTGAATCTCTTTATAAATATTTTTGCTGGAATTTCATAAATGTTACAAAATTTATTTTTTTTTAAAAACATTTTGATAGAAATTAACCCTTGGAGCACAAAATTTGAGGAAAGAGAATGTGACCTTCATTAAGTAAAAATTGGTAAAAACTGTAAATATTTATCTTGTAATTTTATTATTAAATTGTAAAAAAAAAAAAAAAGACAAAAATGTTTACACAAAAAGCCAAAGCTACATCCCATGCCCCAAGAGGCCAGATTTACCAGAGCATATAAAGTCTTTCTTCTGCAATTCAGCCAGGTTGAGGCCATGTAGGTTGGGAGGTGAACTGCACTGTGTGTAAAGTCCCAGCGTTGGTCTCTGTCTGAGCCACTGAGACAACCACGACAAATGACAGTCACACCGCAGACTGTTAGAGTGCAGCCGGCTAGGAAAACAAAAGCAGAAAACTGCTGAAAACTGACTTTGCAAGCATCACTATTGTCAATCCTCATACTTGAGAAGAAATGTGGAAAGGGCTCTGGACTCACAAGGTACGTAACTTGGGCATGTGGTTGAAGCTGGAAATGGGGATGGTGCTGATATTATTGTTGTTCAGTGTGCTATGGAGGAGAATCAAAGAAAAAAGAAACAGATATAATCCGAAATACACGCAAACCAAGCAATAAACAGCATTTTTTTTTTTTTTTAATAAAACTACTAATTTACATACAGGACCTCCAGGACTCTCATGGCACGAAACGCTCTGTCCTCAATGCAGCTGATGTGATTCTTATCCAGCTGTCTGAGATCAACACAAACACGATGGCACACAAGACATTTTGATCATTTAAAGGTTACATTTAAATCATTTTATTGGGTAAGATTGTATTGGGGAAATTAAAAGAAACATTTATAGATAAAGTTGTGTGAACTTTAACTCACAAGTTCTTGATGTTCGTGGCTCCTCTAAATGCTCTTCTCGGTATCATCTGGATGGCATTTTCACTTAAGTCCCTAATTAAAAGAGTTGTTAAAAGATCTAATTAAATTAAATCCATATTTAGAACTGAACTGATGCTGAAAAGCAAGTTTAGGTTAGAAAACATCAGCAACCAAAAAAACACCAAGTCAAGATGCAACATTTATTGCTATTTTACAGTTGGGGAGACTTGCTGAAAATGTCAAATTCAGCAAATGTTCATTTCTGGGTGAACTACTCCTTTAGTAGAGTTCAGTGTTTCAATTATCAGCTTTGTCTCAGATTTATTAAATTATGTATTATGCATTTTAACTATTTCATTTTCTTTCTGTCTCTCACACAACACAATACAACTTCAGATAAACAGACTACTTTTATTGTGTGGTGTTTCTTCACAATAAACTGTTAAAAAGCTGCATGAAGATTCTTCAAAACGTCTCTATTTTTGTTTAAAAAAAAATTATAAATGCAATAAATCACAAATAATGTATTTTTTATTTATTATGTTATGTAACTTTTTTATTTATTATTTATTTGTATCATTTATTTATTCTTTTATTTCTTTGAATTGACTTTCAAATGACTTTCAGCCATACAAAATACAGCCTCTGCATGAAAAACATTTCCAATTTGGTGGTAAATAAAATGAGCGTGACACAATCTCACAGCCACGGATAAGAAATGTATCTATATTTAATATCTAGTCATGCTCAGTGCTATTCTGCAGGAAATTGACATTTAATAAAAGAACATCTGGATTCCTAAATGTGATTTCATCTGTTTTCTCTCCATGTGAAAGCCATCGGTGACCTTTTCCTAATGCATGTGATTTTTGCTGCAATTGCAAACTGTTTTTAAGTTTCGCCCCAATTGGTTCAAGCTACAGTCTGCATTTGATTGAAGCCTTTTAAGTTCCTTAAAGAGTTCAGCAAATTAAAGCTCATTTTCTTTGTTTAAAGAGTAAAATGCAGTAAAAAGCTACAAGCTAACAGCAGACACTGAACATTAGCTGTATTATTGGTGGCGGTTGCTAAGGTACTATTTCCAGTAGAAGTCAGGCCACTGAACCTGACAATGAACCAGACACATAATAAGAAATCTGTAATCAAGTGTGAAATGAAATGAGAAAAGAGTGAGAAAATGCAGAATATGTTTTATTTTAACAAATAGTAAGGAGTTTGTTTTTCCGTAAGTAAGTATAGAAATGAACACAAAACCTCCAGCTGTTTGAGTCAGAAATGTGAATGTGGGTCTAAAATGGCCTGTGTTTTGAATTGCTCCTTGTATTTCTCAGTGCAAACATGGCCAAAGAGGTCTTTTTCACCTCACATGCCAGAGATGGTTCATTTTTGATCTTAGATTTTCATTCTAAAAGGCATTTTCATTCTATAAGGTATCATTATTCCTGGAATGCATATGTAGGTCAAAATGACATACATTTTCTATGTTATTTAACGCATTCCACTCGTCTTTTTTTTTTCATCTAAAATAATATATGTAATAAATTCAATATGAGTAAAATATAAGAGTCATGATATTTCAATATCATACTTGAATTAAGAAAATGTTCACAAAAATATTGCTTTACATTATAAAACATATTTTATTATAAAATAATGCAGTTTTATAAAGTAAAATGCACCAGATTGGTCATATTTGACCCACATATGCACTCTGTGGGGATAGTTTAATTGTACATGCGTTCTAGGGCTAATTCAATTAATTTGTCACTCATGTAAATGTAAGCAATAATTTCTGCTCCAGAGAGATCATTCCAACATGTTAACTTCTACTTTACAGCTTATTACCTGTGAACGCTGGTCACTGGTTACCGGTCCACTCAGGGAATTATCTGAGAAAAAGACCCCAGTAATCTCACGTATTAATGAGCCAAAGTCAGAGATATCAATATGAACTCAACATTTCTCAGTGGATTCAGGAGTGAAGTTGCTCTCTATTTGTACTGTGTGTATCAATTGCGACCTCAGAGCAACAAAACCTTACTCTAGGTTAGATAAGTGTTCAGTTGAGTTCAATTGGTTGGATAAAATGCCAACATTTTCTAAACATTGTTTTCTTAACAAATTTGGGTTATAATGAGACACTTATGGCGCTTTTCCACTGCATGGTACGGCACGGTACAGCTCGGTACGGTTCACTTTTTGGGGGTTTTCCACTGGGTACAGCACCTGGTACCTGGTACTTTTTTTAGTACCACCTCGGTTGAGGTTCCAAGTGAACCGTACCGTTACCAAAACGTGACGTGTAAACTCTGTATCGTCACTAACTGCGTCACTGAACTTGCGACACAAACACAAAAGGACCGCTAGATTTAAATCAGCACAGCCAGCGAAGGATCGAACGCAACTGTTTTGAACGAGCGCACCTTTTTTTAACAGCCAAAAAGTTTTGTTGTCTGTTGTGGAAGAACAGATGTTCCTCTCGTTGATAGCAGAGGAGCGGATCCAGCAAGAGCTTGATGGGGCGACGCGGAATGAAAAAGTTTTTTTTAGGTACTGAACTGCAGTGGAAACGCAAACCGAGCCGAGCCGTGTCGTACTGAGTCGTGCCGAGCCGAGTCGTACCACGCAGTGGAAAAGCGCCATTACAGTGGAAGGGAATGGGGACGATTTGTTCATGTTAAAATATTGTTTTAATAGCATAACCTTCTGTGTAAGCTTACATTCAATTTTACAACTTTGTTTCCAATGAAAGTTCTAAAATGACTGTAAAAATGACAAGATCAACTTTTCAACTCAAATAATTCTGAAGTTTTAACGTATAAGTTTCACATTTTTGCTCCTCCAAAAATGGGCCTCATTCTCTTCCATTGTGAGTTCCTCCCCACAACTTTGATATTTATTTTGTTTATAGCAAACAATGAAAAATTCTAATTTATTTGTGTGGTAACCAACATTACTTCCCAAGTGTTGTTGTTTGTGTTTAACTTGTACTGAACCCTGAACATATACACAGCTCAATCACAAGAAGTATCATGATAATGCAATGCAGGTTTCCATTATTTACATGCAACACGGCCAATTCTATATCACATCAAAGCGCTTTAAACACATTCTGACTTTGCAATCATATCCATCTTTAAAAAACACTTAGGAAAACCAGAAACAACCTCCTAAACTCTGGGAAGAAGAGCCTCCAGTGCTCTCAGTGTGAGCGCAGGGTTTCCTGGTAACCCCCTTTAATCAAAGCTGTTTGCCAACGATGTTCAGTTTGCATTCGCTGCAGTCCCAACCTGGCTGACATCCAGAGGTGAAGGCAAACAGTACGGATAGTAAGACTGCTCGACCTCTGCAAATATTACACTCCAGATCTTTTATTTGAAAACCCTTAAAAGAGGACAAGAAGAAGTGGACAAAAGAGGCCTGAGTGGGAAAAACGAGCAACAAGTTGTGGGATCTGAGAGACTCTGACTAGCCACACTGGTTTTCTTTTGTTAGCCGTCGTCTTTCTTACATTTGTCTTTTTGCGTTTGACGTACTGTTTACTGAGGGATATTAAATGTTAGCAAAGGCAAAACTCATTCATCAGAGCTTAAAGACAGCGAAGAAAGTAAATAGAGAGAAAATGGCTGAAAGAATGAAGAGACTGAAAAAAAATCTGATGTGTATCCATCATTGCGCCTTTTAAATTGTTACACATATTATATACAACCAAAGCTATAGATAGTTAAACTTATTATTTATGTTATTTTTTGGTTAGCTTATGTTTTGTAAGATAAACACTAGTTGATTATCATGCTAGCCTACATGTCTTCCAGGTAACTACCAAAACCTGAACTCTGCTTCACATTACAACCTTGGGTGTGCATTAATTTTCAATAATTCAGTAGACTATCATAAATAATTCCTCACGTCACTACTAGCACTACAACTAGGCAGACGTCTGACTCAAGCACATTTTGTGTGACCGGCCAGTGAACTGTAAGAAGTGGTTCATTGTGCCATTATTGCATAATTTTACAAGAAAAGCCTCCAAAGAAAAGTTCCTGAAAGCACATGAAAATGTGCTTTGTGCAGTAAAATGACCATTATGTTACCATGTAGAAGAACCATTCAGCTTGATGACTCCTTCAAGACCAGCGACATATTTGAAGCAGCAACAAACAACAAATCTTTGTAAGATGTAAAGCAAAAAACTTTCTAGCACAACAACCAGCTAGCATAACATGTACTACTAGCACTACAAAACACTTCAGCTAAGCTTTAGAAACATACTATATGCTTTTAAAGTTTGGGCTAGGTCATCTGCTCACATGTTTGTCATTAGTATGTTGCAAAGCTAACAATGAGATGCATACATACAACATAACTTTATAAACACACACACACACAAATAAAAAAAAACTTGTCTTATCTTCAAGGATCTGCGCGATGCTAATTTTGGCTAAAATAAAATTCCCTCAATTTTCAAAGAAGTGTATTTAATGTGCACTTGAACTCTACTTGCAAATAATATATTATTACTGACATAACAATCCACTTATGTGTACCTAAAGAGAGAGACCTTCATGACTATGTTTCTTAACACATTTACGTAAAAGTGCACTTTGTAAAAATGTCAAATTAAATGTTTTACTTTAAAGTACATTTTAAATAATCACGTTTTAATAATTAGTTGTGTTCTAAAGTACAATTATTTTCATGTGTTGACTAACATACTAAAGCATGTGTAAAGTACTTGATTATAATTTTAACTGTAGTGCGTTATTCAATATTACATTTAAAATTACTACATTTAAAATTGCAACTTCATCATTACAAATGTGTAATTACAAATATATTTAAAGACAACTATGCATTTCAATAGAATTTAAATTAAAGTATATTTTAGTTTAGAATAAATGCTTGAAATAACATTCTGAAATAATTATATTATTAAAATGTACTTAAATCCAACTTAAGTGGGTCAAAAAAGCACTCTAAACTGCAACACATTTTCTGAAAGTGTCTGAAAACCTTACATTCAGTTCACACTTAAATATATTCTTTTAAAGTATATTATTTTCATAATAATTACTCTTTTAAATAGTATGCTAAATTGTACTTCTTTACAAATTAATTCCAAATGAGTTCTGTATTAGCATGTATGCTAAGCTAACAATGGGATACGCTAATAAACCTAGCTCAATAAACGCAGCACACAAAAATATTGGGTAAACCATTCAACTATTTTTATCAATACATAAAAGTACTGAACGAACCATAAATATACTTATAATGGAAATGATCCCGCATTATTATCCTCCACCTTTTTTTTTGTTGGACTGAGCTTGTTGGATGGTGCTGTTTATGCTTTTGTCCTAAATGAGATTTGAGGCACTATCATTTTGATTGCTACGATTCAGAACAACCTTTGCTTTAGGAGTGCACTTATAGTCCTTAAAATGCTGTCTTCATAGGCAGCTCCCTAGGTTTTGGAATAAAGCTATTCACGCTACAGTATCCTGTCAAATGAAGTCAATTTCTGAGCGTTCCTGGAGAGACAGAATAACTCTGAAGAATAATTAGTCTTTTCTGTCATCGTCATTGGTTCGTAGCATACACATTCTAAGCCAAGTTCACACATGGTTAGCACAAATTGAATTTTTTGCTACCCACAGTGACAGAGTTGAGGAAAAATCTACATACCAATCATAATTAGCAATCACCCCTGTCATTTCCCCTCTTAATTAAATGTGTTAATTAATTGTGCATGGAGAACGCCACCATGGTGCCAATTAGCAAAGCTAGCCTAATGAATCATCGAGTATTAGGAGACTATTACTTGTTTTAATGAACTAGCTCTTGCTTTGTTTAATTGTTTGCCAAAATTCAAACACAGAGCAAGAAAGAACCCACATTACCCACATGACCCACATTATCATAAACCAATATTCCTGAGGTTACCAAAACGAGTGTCTCTGAAGGAAAAAGACCTTATGAATTTCATTTATAATAGCAGACATTTTTCCCTAAAGGCATGTGTGGGTGGTTGGGGGTGTTCGCAGGCAGATTGACTGAGCGCTCCACGTCCATATGGCAACTCGCTAATGAGACAACGTGCGAAATGGCATGAACAAACAACCAAATAACAAGCAAACACAGCTGTCCTTAACTATTTGTTCACACCCATTATGCCTCTTTCCGTACTCCCACACATTCCTACATAGTTTCTTTTTTGACCCACTGCCCCCGACAGTGAAGACTTTACCAACTGTATCTGTATTCAACGATAAAAACCCTTGGCCAAACAACAGCTAACTAACCTAATAAGCTCTTATTGAGACATGAATGTCCAGGAAGACGCTACAAAAACACATCAAAGGTGTTTTGACGCAAATTCACTGGTAGAAGCTAGGCTAGGCAAATTAGCCAGATACTATATTTTTGTCATGTTTATTGTCATATTTCAAAGATTTTGCCTAGAAATTGCAATTAACATGCAATTAAGTGTGTGAAAACATTACATTCAGTTCGCACAAGTATATTACTTCGGTAATTAGTACTCTTTTCTAAATTATGCTAAAGTGTACTTCTTTTTCACAAAGACTGATTCCACTTGAGATTGGTATTAGCATGTTAGCTAAGCTAACAATAGGATACGCTAGTAAACATAGCACAATGAAAACAGCACACAAAAATATAGGGTAAAACATTTTGACTAACCACAGCTAACTAACCTAAGCTCTTATTAAGACGTGATTGTCCAGGAAGTCGCTACACAAAATGTTTTGGTACATATTTATTACCGTAGTAGAAGCTATTGCTAAAGTTATCGTCATGTTTTTGTGTGAGATTGGGTGGTTCCATCTCAACAAGCATTTCCTGATGTTTCTGATAAGGAGCTGTCACTCACAGTCTGGAGAGAGCGGGATTTTTCAGGAACAGGAGCTCAGGGAGTTGCTGGAGATGGTTTCGGTTGAGACGCCTGAGGGAAGCACAAAGACATACAGCTCACAATTAAACCCAGTTTGAAGATTACTTACTAATTGTCCTTACACGCTGTAGCTTTCAAATAAATTAATTTTGTGCCATTTTCTAATTAGTTACACAAATTGTAGTGTTGACTGTATTAGTCAACCCTGTTACCATAATTATTGCTATTGTAAGGTTATTTAAATTCAAACATTTTCTTAATTCTTGGTACACTACAAGCCAATATTTGGCCCCAGACTAGCTTCATTTAGATACTTTCAACCCTGTTACCCATTCTGATATTGGTTGAGACGCCTGAGGGGAGCACACAGATATATAGCTCAGAAAACCCAATTTGGGAAAAAAATGATATAAAACATGAATAAATGCAATTAATTTGAAAAGTAAAATTGATCCCAAAGAAAAACTCTGTTACTATATTGGATTCCAGGCACAGTGCTAAATCGTCCATTACTCTTTTGTGAAATCTGGATTGTTTTATTAGGTCAGAGGAACATGAAAGTTAATTTCAAAATGACTATGATTAATTTTACACATACAGCTTTGGGGACTCTGGGAGCCCAGATATTAGGAAAGTAGTCAATTTCAACAAAACCTGAGGGTTAAATGCTATAAATTTGATATTAACCCTATCCCTATTAATCCTACTGTAACATTTTCGATATGCAAATGTCTAATGCCTTTAGTATAATTAAGTATAATTGTAAAACGTTCACCTTCACGTGCCCGTTTGCTGTGAAATCTTATAAAACCTAAAAATAATCTACTATACTGAAGCAAATTTGGTTTACTTGAATATCCTTACATCACTTTTTAGAAAAATCATGTTCAATTACTTGTTCATCTCTCAAGCATCATTGTATTTCATTGCATTACATGTTTTGAAACTACAGAGCTTTCATCATAAAATTAAGCATTTAAATATCGGTTACGTGCTGGTGCTGATACTAAGCGCATGATGCAGGAGTAATTCCAAAATGGTCTTTTAATGATAAATCCACACAATAAACAAAAAAAAAAAACACACAATAAACAAAAGGAATACAGGAGCAAAGGGTAGCACAACATCAACACAACTTCATCATTATCAATAACTGGCCAGGACAGAACAGAAATGGGGAAAACAAAAGCAAGAGAGGGACTAATGACTTAATTGACAAGACACAGATGAACAGAATAAACTAATCAGGGCAACTCAGGAAAACTAGGTCAATGAAAAACGAAGTCAGGAGAACAAGAACACAAACAAAAGTCCATAACCATGACAATATCATCTTAAGACATATTATTGGTATAAATACAGTGATGACTAATATTTACTTCATTTTATGTAAGTAGTCTTGCTAAACTGTTATAAAAAATCTAATTGACTTACTTTACATGCTATCAGAATTTCATCTTATGTTTTGCCCATAGAAATATCAGCATCTGCATCAAATTGCATATTTTTGCTCAGTTTGGGCCTTTGAATAAAAATTTGATTCTTTTCCTCCTCAATTGTCCGCTTCATATTCTCATTATATCATACTATATAAGCCATAAAAGTCTGATCCATCAAATATAATTATTGTCCCAACATGCTTAAGGAAATAATTTTGTGCCAGTTTCTAACTAGTTACACATATTGTAGTCAACCCTGTTAGCAATGTTATTGTTATTGTACATTTATAGTAAGTATCTAACAAACATTTTCTTAATTTATGGTAAACTACAAGCCAACATTTGGCTCAAACAAGCTTAGTTTAGACATTTTCAACCCTGTTACCCATTCTGATATATATACAGTAGTCAGCATTTGAAGTGGATCAAAAAAGTGAATCAAAGTTGTCCTAAGACAAGAA